TGCTTACAGATACCCTCCAGTTCTTGTAAGTTGGAAGGATGTCTAAATGCACAACAATTTTCAAGTTTCTCCACAGATTTACGAGTGGATTTAGGTCTGGGCTTTGGCTTGGCCAGTCAAGGACTTTAATTTTGTGTTTCTCCGAAATCATTCTTGGGTTGCCTTTGATCTGTGTTTGGGATCATTGTTCTGTTGAAATGTAAACCTTCGACTGTGTTTTAGTATTCAGCTGACTTCTTCAGGCTTACCTCCAACATCTGTGTATCTTTTGCACTGCCCATGATCACTTGAATGCGTTTAAGTTCTCCAGTCCAGCTGCAGAAAACATCCCCACAGCATTATGGACACACCCCCATGCTTGACAGTAGAGATTGTAGTTGCCGGGTCATGAGCAGTTTTGGGTTTCTGCCATACATACCGTTTGTCATTTAACCCAAAAAAGTTATATTCTGTCTCCTATGACCATAGAACTTTCTGCCACATTGTTTTAGGGTTATTGAAATGTTTACGGGCATAGTCCATTCGTGATCTAACATGCATCTTCGTCAGTAGTGATTTCTTCCTTCCCGCCCCTACCATACAAGCCTATTTTGTGTATGGTACGTGATATTATAAAGGTGAAGTTTGCAGCTCCTTCAGTGTCACTGTTAGATTGACAGACACTTCTCTGACGATTTTTCTGCTTGTTCAAGCGCAGACTTTCTTAGGGGGACCTGATCATGATAAAGTTGAGGTAGTGTGACACACTTTATATTTGTTCACAACTGATTTTACAGTACTTAATGGTAAATTGAGAGTATTTAAAATTGATTTATAGCCTTCTCTGGAATTGTGCTTCTGAACAATCTCCTCCCTTAGGTCTGTAGAGAATTCTTTTCTCACCATTCTCAATATGTAAACCAAATCTTAACTTTCAAAATACTCTGCTTAAATCAATAGTGATGGTTCTATATGACCTGAATTATTTTTTCACATGGCTCTATAATATACTTTGGTATTATATAGAGTTGAACAGAACCACTTGTATTTACTTTAGTAGAGTAGTGACGTAAAGTTAAATCAACGATGGTAAAAGCTGAAAGAATGAAGACTTGCGTTTTTGTGTTTTCAAGATTTTTTGTGTTATATCACTAAATTGGGTAACAATGCACCTTTTGTTCTTTTGAATCATTAAAAACTGGTCCGAGATTAATATAAAAGTATTTTTGGCTATTCGAGTTTTGTCTTTCACAAGAAAATCTCTCAAATTTATTACCAGCACAGGGGGATGAAGACTTTTGCAAGACACTGTACCCACCAAATTGTTAGTAACTTTCGAAAACTCACTTTTCATTGTTGCATTTCACACTATCTATAGCATATAAGGCTTTTCATTGCTGCATTTCACATTATCTATAGCATATAAGGCTTTTCATTGTTGCATTTCACATTATCTATAGCATATAAGACTTTTCATTCTTGCAATTCATAAGTACGTGTTATATAAATTTCCATTTTATTCTACTTAATATATTAACTTTATGAGTGAACTTTTGAATTGAGTGTTAAACATTCCGTCTTATATATTTTCGGTGAATTATTGAGAGATGGATCACTGCTTAATTTATCGAGTTATTCATAATACAAATCCTCTGAGCTTTATCTGTCTCTCGGTGGATTAACGGTAAGTTTACGAGCTTACAACGCTAAAATCCGACGTTTAATTCCTCGTTTTGGAAAAAGCGCAGAAAACTTACTGTGTACCTTTACGATTAAATAATAAAGCAATAAGAATTTGGTCTGCACTCTTGAGGTGTTATGGGGTTAAAGCCGAATTATTGTTTGTTTATAATTAAGCACAAAGGTACAGAATGAGATATCTGTACAAACCGGGTAGCGAAACTGGGTTTTTAGCGTTTTAAGTCCACGGACATACTTCTGTACTACTGGAGGACTTGAATTATTGCAAGTTACTTCGGTAAGTTTTACATTTTCTGATAATTTTATACATTCTTTTGTATAGGAATCGTATTTTATCTTAATTTCTATTGTGTTGGCAAGTCTTATAAACTGAGCCTTAGCCACTAACATAGAAGTAAATTCATAGTTTTCCTTTTTACCATTGCTGATTATAATTGTACCACTGAGTTTACGTTGTATACGATCAAACAATTACTACTCATTTAAAATTTTTGCTTATCACAACAGAAAAATTATAGTTCTTTATCTAAGAAAATTATTTTAAAATAATATAAAGCAATTCAGAAAATTAAGAAAAATGTTGATCACTAATTAGTAATCATTATACCATACAAAAACATATAAACTTAACATACATTAATATATCTCAGAAATCATGAAATCATATAGAACCATCTTACAGTAATATATCTAACATAAATATGATAAAAATATAAAATGACCTCACAGTAATGTATGTAACAAATGATTAAACTGTACCTAAAGCATAATCATTTAAAATATATACAAAAACTTCTTACCTTATTACCTCTCAAAATGCTAAAACTCATACAAACTACTTTTATTGTTGTATCGGAAAAATTGTCACAAAAATAAATAAAACGACTTATCTTGTACGAAAAAAAATCAACTAAAGTTGAAAACGTAAAGTACCTACAGTTTCATCTTTTTATTGATCTCTCATTCGAATTTCAATCACTCAGAAATAGTTTATGGTGAACTGTTACTTTAAAGAGCGATTTTTTCATACGGTGCTCAGCCACAGAGAAACACAAAACAAGACCGAACCCAAGAAAGTTTTAAGAAAAACAAATAATGTATTGTGTGTGTATACATATGTGTGAGTGCGCATTATATTAAGTTTATTCTTGCTTTCTATACCAAGTGAAGGAAAGATTATATGCTGTTAATGAGAATTAAGCGTCTTAAAAACTCTAGTTTTACACGTTTGTCTGTAGTGCCAGAAGGACCCACGAAACATTCTGTATTATCTGTGTCGTAGGATAAGGAACCCTATAAGTTACAGTTGGTGTTTTTCTCACGAAACGCTCATTCTCGATTCACACTTTTTTCACGCCAATGACGAACTCTCTCTAAAAAATATTTATTCGAAAAACGAAGTTTACATTACTGTACAGGTTACCAAAATCTGCACTTCTTTATCCTACATCCGAGGTTACTAGTACGTTTTCACTATTGTCGTTTCATTTTTAAAGATCTACAACCAGTTTATCCATGTACTTCCAAATGGACTTTCTTTATTCTTCGCTCAAAAACTTGGTGCTACAGCTAGATTGAATTACGTTTACCAAGCCATATAAAAACGACGATGTAATAAACACAAACACGTAGTAATCCCATAATGTGTGCGATGCTTATCATGCCAATAGAATTTTATAAGTCATAAAAATGTTGAGCTGTAACGTCGTTATAACAAATTTAGGTTTAGGTTTCTGTTTTCTATTTTCTTTTTATACTTAACTATGAGAATAGAAGTGTGAATACTTTGATAATAACATTGTGTGTTTGTTAGACGCAATTTTTATAAAACTTTTTAATTTATTAGATCTGATACCGGACTAACAAAAACTTTTAAACCTTGTTTTATCGTAAGCAGTATTAGATTAAGGTTTTCTAATGTTCTTCAAGCAAGTGCAAATGGTGGTTTAATCTTACTCTCACAATGGTTTGGGTTGTAATATCTTCTACGTGAGTGGTCGAAGTCTTTTTTTTTTACGGAATTGAGATATAATTCCTTTAATAGGTTTATAATGCGCTGAACCTCAGACAGATTGAATATAGTCAAAACGTTTGAGAACATGATGCTGCTTTGATTAACGACGTGTCTGAGTTAGTGAACGTTTGAAAACATGGTGCTGCTTTGATTAACGACGTGTCTGAGTTAGTGAACGTTTGAGAATATGGTGCTGCTTTGATTAACGTCGTGTCTAAGTTAGTGAACGTTTGAGAACATGGTGCTGCTTTGATTAACGACGTGTCTATGTTAGTGAACGTTTGAGAACATGGTGCTGCTTTGATTAACGGCGTGTCTAAGTTAGTGAACGTTTGAGAACATGGTGCTGCTTTGATTACGACGTGTCTAAGTTAGTGAATATTTATTCTTTGTTTGCTCTATGTACACTTACCTTACAAAGAGAACTTGAAATCAATAAAGTAAACGTATTACACCAAAAAAGTCTTACGAATAACAGGGAAAACAACTTGCTATTTTAACTCGTACCGTGCTGCGAATTATTGTAATCTAATGCCGTAGTTTAAAAAATATATATTTTACACACTTTATACTTTTTTAAATGTTACGAACGAAAAAATAGCCAAATCTCCTAAAGTAAACAAAGACGATATTTTACTAATAATGGCTGGAGACGGCTTGAATGGGTAATGAAGAAAAACTTTAATATAACAGCAAATGTACAACGTTTCGACAAAGTTTTGTCATCATCAGGTACAAGTATTTTACTTTGTTATTGCTATGATAAAATATGCAAAATAAAACCCTTTAACGTCCTGTCAAAGAGTTAGATCCCTCCAGTATACAACACAAAGTATGAAAAGCAAAAAAAAACATGGTTTCACAACGATTCATTTGCTTTTTACATGAAGTTAAGTCACAAACACCTTTTACACAAAACGTTTTAGGTGAGGAATGTTATGGGCTCTATCAGCCATATCTGCCTTTAATGTTTACTTTTCCTCTCATGTAATATATATAACCTTTTTCTTTGCGTGTGTTTATATCTATTCGAGAAACACACATTGTTCAAATCCTGCTTTAAGTTTTAATAATATATAATGTTAGTTTTCTTTTTACTATGGGATCTCAAAATATTTTACTTTATAGCTGCCAAGCAATTTTTATCTGCATAATGAAACCTGTGTTGAAAATTATTTTTACACAAATGGTGTTGGTTTATTTTACTTTTCGAATACAACGTAAAGGAACTTTTTCTGTAGTTTGAAATAACTAGTTTAGGCTTTATGCTTAATGTCTGTTATTAATTTACTGTTGTACGTTGCAGTCTCGAATGAAACAGAATAAAGAAAGAAAATTCATATCTACAGCTGTATGAAGCAAGATATAGAGTAAAGAATCTTGGTGGACTGGGAGCACGCTTTGGTAGCAGGTGAAATGTATGTATGATGAATTATATTATCAAGAAATGTGACGAACACACACATAGTGCTCGACGAGAGCTCCTCACAAGAAATGACATCTCGACGACTGAAAAAAGAACATTGGCCGATCGAGTTTGGTTACGTATCAACAACATAAAATACATTTACAGTGGGTGGCTAGGTTATTTTGTCTTGTGGTTTTGGTAACAATATGTGCGAAACAAAGTAACCCACGCTCATGATGTCTGTTCAACCAAAACTTACTTGTGTTGGCGTTGTGTGTTCTAACTCGTCTTTGTATAAAGTAAAGAAAGTGGATGTTGATGTCATAGGACAGTCAGATTTACCATGTTTAGCTATTCGAAGATACATTTACAATTCCATCATAGTGTAAGGAACAACCAAACTGAAAAACAACAACAAAAGAAAACGATATACTCGTCTTTGTATAAAGTAAAGAAAGTGGATGCTGATGTCATAGGACAGTCAGATTTACCATGTTTAGCTATTCGAAGATACATTTACAACTTCATCATAGTGTAAGGAACAACCAAACTGAAAAACAACAATAAAAGAAAACGATATACTCGTCTTTGTATAAAGTAAAGAAAGTGGATGTTGATGTCATAGGACAGTCAGATTTACCATGTTTAGCTATTCGAAGATACATTTACAACTCCACCATAGTGTAAGGAACAACCAAACTGACAAACAACAACAAAAGAAAACGATATGTAAATGTTTGAAATTACTTTTTTTTTTCGGAATCAGCACAACTATTTAATTTCGAGACACATTACTATAAGTTATAAAACACACTATAGATATTTAGCTCCTCTCTAGGACAAACAAATAGTTAATCGTTGTTTTATAATATATTTCGATAAGCTGGTAACAGGATGTATGATCACGTATAGTTTAAACACAATTTTAAAATGTTAACAATGTGCAGCTTCAATCGTTTTACCCTTTGTAACTGTTAACTAAGTGTAAGGTAATGTTTGTAACGTGTTATTTGAAAATATACAACAGTTCTGAAAAATAAACTGATTTCTGTATTTTCTTTAGTGACGTTCATTATGTAACATATTGCTTGGTTCTAAGTAATATTATTATGCATCCAATATTATATCATAAGACTCATAATAGAGAAACCTCATAAGTTTTACTGATCTGTTTCTGGTTTTTTTATTACAAAAATAGCTTCACAAAATCTGATGTACATTAGTAAACCAAACCAAACGATTTCTGAAATGCTAGAGAAGTCATACGTAATATTAAGAGCAATTTACTTTTTTTCTGTTTATTTTTATTTTCTTTTTCATTGATTCTATTTCCTGTCTTTCGAGGTCGTACCAGATTCTACGATTTTTCAATAGTTTCGAAGTTTTGTAAATCTTACTTTTTATCATTAACATTTTCACTGTATGAAAAAAACTTTTTACTAAATAATAAACAAATAAAATGATACATTAAATTTTTAATCTCATACTCATAGCAACTTTCTGCTTTGAAACACACGGGGTGATAAAAGTTCATTATGCGCTTCGCTAAATTACTACTGGTGTGAGAGCTAATGTCATTGTGCTGTGATGGACAACTCATTTCAAGGAAGAACGCCCATCAGTGTGATAAAGTATTGAACGATAGTTTTATAATGAATTAAAAGTGAAAGTACTTGTTATTGAAACAAAATTCTTTGTTAAGATAAACATGAATTGCCAGTATTACTTTCGGGCAAATCTGTGTAAACAGAGTAGCACTAATTAAACGCTTATGACTGTATGGCCTGTTGTGCCGTAGTAAACTACAGTAACCGTTCTTCTTCATCACTGAGAGAAACCCTCTGTATACTGTCAATAACTAAGTATTAAGAAAGAGTCATAGACAACTTATTACGTTTATGAAATAATCTACAAGTTAAGGCCGTATGATACAGAACCTTTACAAGTCTTTCATTAAGGTTGAAAGGAGTTAATATTCAATAATGCTGAACTTTACGATCTCGCAAATGAATTCTTTGACCAGTAAAAGCTTTTTAGTTGTATAGTCTTTAAAACGCAACCTTTTCAAGCTTAAAAGAACACAATTTTCCACAGTTTTTGCTTTCTTATGTATTTTAGCTCCACGAACATCTATAACAGTTCTGTCGCCTGGCGGCTGTAATTTTAAGAAACGTCAAAAATCAGGTTTGTCTGACTCCTTTAATATATTATGTGACCTTCTAAGATTAGATCAATAATTTCTCAAATTTCTTGTAATTCTAGAAATTGACAATTTTTGTGTGCTTATAAATGCATTACTTAATTATTCGGCATTTGATACCATGACCACCTCTGTTGAATTATGAGAGTGCTATTTAGTTGGCTTGTTTAAGACAAAATAGAAACAAGGCAGTTAAACTCACAACAGCTTATGCAATCAACAATAAAAACAAACGGTATGTGTAATAAAATGGACGTTTTAATGATCATTCGTTGCATTACCGCCATTTTAACTCCGAATTTTCACCTAATTTTCGATCATTAAGCTGTACGTAAATAGAATTAAGACTAACGAATACAGGTTGAGTACGTTATATTAAAACTGTTTTGGAGCATTATAACTTTGTTACACTATGTGCCTCCACGTCTGGTCATCTTAACAATAAATGTCATGTCCAAATCACACCACTTCTCCCTGATGTCTTCCATATTACATCTATTGTATAAGGGAACGGTTTCACTGCGCCCGTTTCAACAGTCCAATCACAAAGAAATTCATAGGCGTTGCATCCGGCGACTTGACTGGAATGTTTCATATAGAATAGCATGAATATTTATCTCGTTCTTCAGCTGCTTAAGGTATGCAATGAATCAATGGGAGGTATAACTCGAAGCCTTATCTTGGTGAACACATGCCCTATTCGTTTCCTTTCCAGACGGAAATCGTTTTCGATTATGTTGTGTACTGTTGCTTAGGACACATGTATGTGTTTTACTTCTGGTATTTTTGTTTGTAGATTCGCACCTGTTTAAAAAGCCGGTAAGTAACAGCAGGGGTATGACTTGCTGCAGGTCCCTTTCTGGATGGTCCTGGTGCATCAAGCTGGTCTATATTACTATATTTTTCAAAGTCATTAAGAACAAGAGATATCTCCATCTTATAAGTTCTAAATCTTCATTCTGAACACATGTTTATGATCTGAGCATTTAAATATATTGCATTGGATAGGACTGTTACATATCCTTCCCCAAAGCAATAAATCAAACTACGTCAAAATGTAGTTATGATATATGACTTTACACCACGACTTTATATTGTCTGTTTTTGTCAAGGAAGGTAGTGATTGCATGATCAAAATCGTTTTAATATAACATACTCAACCTTCTGTGTACTTGATTATAGTTGCCACATACTCACAAAAATTCAGGATTTATAGAAAGATACCATCTTAAAAATTGATATAACAGTATATAATGATTTGTTACCTGTGTCTTTTTATGTGTGTTTGGGAATATTTCATAGAGTCAAAAATAAACACATCTAATTAAAATTTGTTAAATTGGGAAATAAAAAATAAATTAAAAAGGATACACACACGCATATATATATATATATAGATTGAAAGTGAATAAACAAATATTAAATTTGATTAAACTCTGTTTGAGTCCCATACAAACCAAATCTCCATTCCTCAATGAGATACATTTGATGTTAAAATACATATTAAACATAAAGGTACGCCAACCAAGAAGTTCATTATAAGTAGGTCTATATTTAAACTAAAAGTTCAACACGAATGACACCTTATACGCACGTGTGCTAAACGGTCACTTCAAAGACACTCTGAAGTTCACCTTTACTCATCTCTAATTTTGAGCCACTGACCACAGCGATGGTAGCCAGTCAGAGCAGCATCCGCTGGTACAAGGAAATTGTCCAGATCTCTGAAATGATTAAAAGGAGAGACTGTACTATAAAGCACTCATAGTTGAGAGTGTGAAGCCTCTTCAGCGGCAGTTCTGTAAGTTGAACAATAGAGTACCAGATCGGACAAGATGAATTGATGATCCTGCAAAACTATTTCCACACACACAAATGTTTTTTGTTTGCTTACTCAACCACCAAAAGAAGCTAACATGCAAAATATAATTATGTTAGGAGAAATAAATTATGTGAGCAGGCTAGGTAAATGTAGAAAACAATTTTTGAAATGTCTAAAGTAAATTATGTCGGCAGGCTAGGTAAATGTAGAAAATAATTTTTGAAATATATAAAGTAAATTATGTGAGCAGGCTAGGTAAATGTAGAAAACAATTTTTGAAATGTATAAAGTAAATTATGTGAGCAGGTTAGGTAAATGTAGAAAATAATTTTTTGAAATGTATAAAATAAATTATGTGAGCAGGCTAGGCAAATATGGAAAACATTTTTGAAATGTATATTTAGCAATTGATCTTAAATTCGAATTTATCAAATACAGAATTCGTCTAAAAGATTTCTCATGATATTATTCTAAATAATACTGATCGAACAAAATAGTCATTTAATGACTGACATTTATAAGAAATTATGTTTACATAATTTTTTTTCCGTAATTGTGTTATTTTTCGTAATTTATGAAAAAGAAATTAGCAAACTTGAATTAACTATCTGTTCCACAAATACGTTCCTCCATAGCGATATTGAATAAAGATGCTAATCAACAACTCACGTGCCAACCACAGCTGATTTAAAGTATCAATGGATGGAACATCTTGTATCCGAAATACATTTGTCATTACTTAATGTTTTGCACGTAGTGTGATGTTACCAAAAATTGATGATTTTAGGAAGGGTACAGCCCATTCCAACACAAACTATTCATACACTCTCATCATGATGTGTTCAAGTCGGAAATCTAGAATTTTTAAGGTAGGTAGGTGTATATATATTATCCGTATAGAGTACAATGATAATGATATCCCAGCGCCTGTTTCTTCAAGTATGTGATTGTTAAACGAGACGTATTATAACTGGAAGCTTTATTATGGTGAACCCATACTCTGTTTGCAATGTTGCCAGATAGAGATCATGCTCGGGGTGCGTAAACAGCTTTTGGCACTAACCTTTGTGTTCGT